TATGCCCAATCCAGTTGAGAGAAATATTTTATAATTTATTTTAAACTTCTGCAACCACTGTGGAGTCCAAAGCCGCTGTTGAGCCATTAGCATAATGGACCAATGTTGGCCAGAGGGACGATCTTAGATCAGTAGCCAAAACCAGAAATGGTAGAAAAATCTTGGCCAGAAGTAGCAACAAATACCGCTAATGATGTGCTAGTGTCGCCAACGATATTTGACAACCAAAGCAGAAATATTGTTTTAACAAATTATGGTGATAGACCCAAAATAGAAGACTTGTGCCAAAGGGGCTCTTTAAATAAAATAGCCATAAACTTAATGATACAAAAAGATAAATTAATTCGAAAATGCTTCTATATTGTTTATTTAATTTTACTTTTCCAAAATATATAAGAGTATAGGAAGATTTCTACGAATAAATAATTGCTTTCCTTAGTTTCTGCAAATATTTAATATTAGTTCCCATAAACGGCTTCTCTTCTCTCTAGCATAACCAAAATTAATTTTAGCACATTAGCAACATTTATAAAGTATTAAGATAACATCGTAAATTTATGTTTGACATAGCATTAGCAAAGCAAATTTCTGCAGATTTATGGTCAATCCAAAAAACTACCAAAATTCTAAAGTTGAGCGAACCATCTCCACAAATATTGTTTAAGATTTCTTTTTTTTCTGTTATTTTGTTTTCTGTCTTCGAGTCCCCTAAATTAATACGTTTTCGATGAAAATGCGTAATTAATTTGGGCGGCTTGTTTGGTTTTTTGTTTTTACTTTTAAAGAAATTCGAATCCCAAATTAGCCACTTAATTTCATTTAATTAATTTCAATCTAATTTTTTAGCCCAAAGGGGGAACACAAATCCAAAGCCGACTGACTAGTTAGGCAGATAGAAAAACAGACTTTTGGGCAGACGATATTTCATCTGCATAATTATGCATTTTAGACCAACCGATTATGCATTAGACTAATGCTCCAAGGTCGTTTTTGTGTGGTAGTCTTTTGTTGATGGAAAGTTAATCTGAATCGATTGAAATGAATTTTTAAGCCATGACTTGCCTTTGTATTTATACGAAATGTTTTCGTTTATTAAATGCGTTTAGAAACAGATCTTAAGATGCAGATATCAGATGTTTATGGTTTCAGTGGAACGGAATGTGGGATTACAAATTTTCTTTTTTAGTATTCAACAAATGTATGAATAAATAATTCTTTGTATTATTTTTTGTAAGATTGGTACCCGTTTTTCAATGAAAATATTGCATAAGGTCTATAAAAAATTAAAAATGCAAGATTAGGAGCTTCAAAAATTGAAAAGCTGAATGTAATGTTTCAAATATTTAAGTGATTTCAAAGTGCATTTCAATGATAACAATATTAAAAAACTGAAAGTTTTAATGGTTTAATGATTTAAATGCTTAATAAAAATAATTTTTAATACGTTTGTTTGAAATCCAAAGAAAATAATATGAATTGTTTCGCCTTTCTATAACTCAATTTGTTTCTATAAATCAATGGTAAAGCTATACCAAGATTTATAACCTTTTATCACCTGTTTTTCATTCCCACCTCCAACCCGCATAATGCAGGCAATTATAGCCCAACAAATTGCCCAATTCCGAACCGCCTTACACACCAAAACGAAGGCGATGCACTAAATCTTTGGGAACTCGAATCACTGGCTAAATGCAACCTACAAGCCCGCATTAGCGAGGCGACTGATCGATGGTCGCTGCCAATTATGGACAGTGATCTCTGGACCACGGCTAAGACCAAAATACTCCATACGACCGTGATGACTGCAGTGACGACCCAAAAAAAAAACCCGCGACTCCGCAGACTGTTTGTCAAAAATGTCTCATGAATGGAACGTGAACGAATGATCGAGTGAATGAATCAGCTGTGAATGCAGCTGGGGCGTATTGGAAATGAATGAATTACCCGATAGACGAGGTGGCCAGCTTGTCTGGGCCGAATTTTAGTGCGTGGGCTTGCTTCCCCCTCCCGAAATCGTACTCCACTCCAAAGCAAAAAATAGCAAAAAACAAGCAAAAAGCAGGCAAAAAACGAGTAAAAATTGTTTACAAGTACGAAATCCCGCGGCATTGACTTGGGCGCTTGTCTGGGGGCTGGAAATACTCGACGTCTTCCACAATGAAATTGTCACTTTTCATTCGGCTGGCGGTTCGGGCTCTCCAGCTCTTTAAAATCGTACTGCCCACGTTGCAGCGGAAGTGCCATTTGATTTATTCGCATTGGGTGCTTTTATTTCTGTGTATTTTTGCTGCGTGTGTGTTGGCAAATTTCCGGCCGGCTTGACACACATTCGGATTTGCATGTGTCGCACAAGTTTTTAAGTGCCATAAATATTAATTTACGGCTATACATTTGATTTGGCTTTGACTAATGGTGACATTTCATTCGGCGATCACCTCAAGATGGTGTCTTTATACACATGGCACATATGGCCTGAACTTGTTGTCTTGCATCGCCTTTCCAGGAATCTGGGTCAATGCTAAATGATAGATAAAAGAAATTAAGTATGAAAATGGAGTGCAGAAGCTGAGTGTTAAGGTTGTGGATGGTTTGAGACATGTGGTTAAAAAAAGATACTTAAAATTAAGTATTGAGGAAGCTTATGATGACTATCTTATAAAATAGAAAACAGGTAGCATCATATAATAAGACAATTTAATACATCACAAAATTAACAAAGATTTTTCTTTATGGTTTTAATAAAATATATAAGAATTTCAATTTGTCGGATTAATTTTGACTATATTAAATCCTAGTCTTAACCTAGTAATAGGATTGTACTAGTTAAAATTCAAATTTTGGGAATTTATCTTATTAAAGAAATAATATCATACCATCTTATAATATAATACTTTGATCAAAATATAGCATAGCATTATATATGGGAAAAAAAAGAACTGTTACCAATTTAAGCCAGATTTTTCTCACTGTTTTTTTTTCCTAAGTACTGAGCGATGCCCTCTGCGCAGTGGTCCATAGTTTTCAGTTGGCCAGTTGGCAACGCCTCGTTTTTCCTGCCCAGTTTTCCGAGTTATTTTCCCGCAGGCTACGCTTAGGTAACTCTTCTCAACCAAACTCAACCTAAACTCAAGCTAAACTCAACCCAAACTCAACCCAACTCACGTTTTCACGAACTGCTAGAGAGCGCATCAAAGTGCAGAATCTCACGAAATTTGCCATTCGAGCGGCCATTTGGGTTATTTATGGTCGCCGATTTGTTTGCAACTCATTTAACCGGACAGCTCTCGCGGTTTTATGACACATTTAACAGTTCGTTTCTGGGTTTACTTTACAATTCGTTGGTCGCGCTTTCGAAAAAATATAAAAAGTTAACGCATAACTGCCAGAAACGAAAAAATCAATGAGAAACATCCAATTTCGCGGTTAATTTGGCTTGATTTTGTTTGTTTTATTTTCTTCTTACGCTTACCTTTCTCTTCTTGAAGTGGGTTCTCTTGTATTTTGTCACCATTTCCCTGTAGAAAGGGGTTCCAAACAATAAGTATCACTAAGAAAAATAACAAATACACCAATGCATATCCCACTGATTCCCCAGAATAATGCAAATTGAAGTACCTCTGGAATACCGGTATAATTATAGATCGCTTTGATTCACTTCCGACTCGCCGGGAAGCTGACTCACTCAAAAACCAACGATGACAAACACTATCCACACGGATACCACTCTGAAAATCACAACAATGCCAACCATGACCCACGCAAATTGTGCCCAACAAAAGTTGAAGAGAAAAACCATACTAACAAGAAATCGTGTAATAAAATAAAAAATATAACTCAACACTTTCTACCCACGCAGTGAACTTGAAAATATTTTATCGAAACAAAGCCCTTCAAAACGATCAAATTTAAAAAACAATATAAAATAGATAATAAAAGCAATTAGGCATAAACAAAACAAAATCCAAAGTCAAAGCAATTTACTACAACATTTGCTAAAACTTTGGACAATGGAAAACCGCAGCAGTGGAAAGAAAATGTTCCATGTCACTGGAGAATCATTTCAAGAGCACTTAGAAAAATATTACAAATTTTCCAGAGTCTTAAAATAAACGGACCAGTAGTTTTCTTGTTCTTGTATATTTCATAAAAGATGTACTATAACCTACAAGAAAAATATAGAAATTTTATTAAGGCGTTTAATAATACAAAGAAAATTTAAGGATCCTAAAAATATTTATCCTTAGCTAAGAAATTTTTTTTTTATATTAGTGGAAGTTTTGTTCTAAGTGTGAGCTTGCTTTTGGCTTTTTGCTGGGATCTAATTGAGGCTGCAAAAAGCTGTCCATTGTGGTTGTGCTGGTGGTCAGTGGTGCTTGGTGTTTTTCCTTTGGTGGCAACTGGTAAATGGTAAATGGTAAATGGTCCATGGTCCGTTGGGCGCTCACTTCAGCATGAATTGATTTGGTCTGGGTTCGAGTCCAGTCGTCTGTCAATCAATTGTAATGAATACGCATTTTTCTATTGGAGCTCGGCGGGAGTGTTAACCCCCCTCCCTAGCTAACATTCCCCCGCTGGGTCAGACGTTTCTCCACTTAACCCTGAGCTGTCCAATCAGCAGAGCAAGACCCCATTTAGAATAACCCTGACCTGCCCTGCAAATCAGATGAAACTATCAAAAATACTTTTACCCAGTGCCTTGAAAACTGTGCCTAAAAACGCTAGCTATTTCCTAACGATCCATCCGATTCGACTATAAATTTAACTACTTATGAATAATTGTTATGGTAATATTAAAAATATTTTTAATAAATTCTTAATTTATAACACACAATTCAATAAGAAAAGCTTTTCTAAAATTGGCATTTAAAAAAGTTTTAGTATTATGAGACACTTTTCCAGCTAAATTTGTATGTTATCTTATATTACACTCGTTTTGCAAGTGTTATTTTAACATTAACGAGGTTTTTGAATAGCATTTTTAATGCCATTTCGCAGAAGAACAAGAGAAGCTCGTGCCCTTTTGTTTTGCCTGTATTTATTTTAATAGGTCATAAAATTAGAAACCAGTTTCTGAGATATTGTCACATAACATATCTGATATTAAAGTTAGGGCTTCACGGTTAGCCCTCTGAATATTTAATTCTTTTTTCGTATTCCGCAGTGTGACAGCATTTCCAGGGCTTACGACATTTGTCGACTTCGTTTTCCTGTAGTTCCATCCATTCCATACAATTGACGTTCCAATGAGTGCCATTTCTCCATTTCTCGTTAACACAGGACCCGCCATTATTGCAACCTGAGGATTATAATTTTATTAAATTTATTTTACAGTTTAAAAAAGCTTACCCTTAAGAAACATAAATTCCGCAGGATTTGGGAATAGTATCAATCCCATTATGAGCCATAACAGAACCATATTTGAAAGAGAATTGTTTTTAAATGAAAAAGTTTGAGAACTGGTGTAGCTAATATAATTATTTAGGGTTTGAAGCGGTAGAGCTAGTAAAATTCGCAGTTACGCTTCTTTTTAAATTGCTTGATTTAAAAAAAAACTAAAATTATATGTTCAAAATATCATTGATCTTCTCAAAAAGTTATTACTTATATTTCTAAATTCAATTGAGGTTAGCTTTTCTCGTCATAATTTCAACTACATTGCTATGAACTCTGTTCACCGAGAATTCCCTTTCTTAGATTCCCACATTCCTCTGAGAACCACTTTACCACTTATGTACTTACAAATTTGAATTTTGTGGCTAACCCGCCACAACTACGAGCATCATCATTCCGCATTCCGAAATGGATTCCGCTGGGAACGTTTGGGTTAAGCAGAAAACCGCAAATTGAATTAGGCCCGAGTTGGGTATTAAGAAAATAATTTGCAAAGAAATTACATAAAGGAAAACAAGTGCCGGCACAAGCGCGCAGACAGATGCAGACACGCAGATATATCGCCCACACACCTACTGCTTTTATATAGCCGTACGATCCATCGTGGTTTGCCAATTTAGCAGAAATAAACGCCCACATGGGACGCAGAAACTTGGAAGCTTTGAGGGGGCAAACCGGCAACCACTAACATTTATTTGCGACCAGAGAGAGAGGAAAATGCGGCGGAAAATTCAAATCAATTTAGCGCAGACCGCAACTTTGAGTCTAGCTGCCATGGATAAATCCAATGAACTAACAGCAGCCCAGAATTGTGCCGCGCATGCGTAGAAAAAAAAAGGGGCAAATTAGAAGGGGATACGATCCCTAGCAGTAGCTAACCTCGCATAATTTAGCAATTTACATTTTTTCCCCATTGTTGCATTTAGTTTTTAACAAGAGAGTGCATTGGACTTCGCCAAAGGCCCCATAAATCAACCGCAGCTGGGATCTTTCTCATTTCGGCCATAATTTACGAGCCAAGAATTGCGAAACTGCATCCACGCAATTAATTTGTTTAATACCCATGAAATTAAGTATATTTCCACGGTCTATAGAACAAGGTGCGTGTCTAAGCTAGATAAATGCATACTAAAATGTAAATGTTTTTACAACTAAGTACCTCCTGGCAGCCCACACTTTATAATCAGATCATGGCTTACTAACCAGCTGGGTTTTTTTTAAAGGAAGTTGAGTCTAGAACATTCCAGACGACAGGAAACCCTTACATATTATTGCAGGATGACATCCATTTAAATGCAGATAACAAGGGTTCTTAAAATTGTTATATTTTTAAAACAAGAGTCTTCAGCCATTGGGATATTGGGACTATTTTTAGAAGAGAAGAGGATATCAACAGACCCATGCTGATATATGAAAAATGTTTATGATTTCCCGATTAAAATAGCCATAGCTATGTTGCAAAAACAAGACTTTAACTATCAATAGCCGCGAAACCTCTTCGCTGTCTTTCGCAGCCCACACAGAAAACTGTAACCTGGGAGGACAGCCAACAAATCATCATGTCCAGCAGGTGACTTGACTTCGACTTGGAGATAGCACTTTATCGATTGCATAAGTACAAATGGCCGACGGACAGTCAGTTTTTCGCTGGCCAAGATGCCTCGTTTGACCAAAAGCCAGACCAAGTGGATGGCTGTGCCATTCCTGTTCGGGGTTTTCGAGAGTGGGAAACAACGACTTCGACAACCGCCAACGAGAACCACGTCCGGTCGGTTTGCCAAAGTGGATTACAAGCGCATGGGCTTCGACTTCTACTCCAACTTCCATTTCCATATCCATATCCACAGCCATTCAAGCCCACTTGACAAAAACGAGAAAGAGCGCAAAAGATGATCAACTCGAATGAGGGATACCTAAAATATTCCGTAAAAAACATTGGGAATTTAGATAAAACATAATTAAGCAAAGTAGGATTAGTATTTTTTTATAATAATACCATGTTTTTTATTACCCAAAATTATTATGTTTGAACCATTATATTATTTTATTGATAGTCTAACGTAATCGTTACTAAAGGAGGACTTAAGTACAGTATAAAAAATATTGTAATTACCACCATCAGATCTCCTAGTCAAGGCAATTATGAGTTATTCACTTAATTTACAGAGTGAATATAATATTTTAAATTAAATAATAATACATTTATTGGGAAGAACATATTTCATCTTTCATAGCTTCGTTTCCGCAAGTCCAATTTATCCTTTTACCCTTTAAGAACAGGGTATAAAGGCAGTCGACTATTTTTTCTTTATTTATTGCAAATCAAAAGCTGCAGTTTGATATTTTTCGCCGGTTCTCTGCTTTTCCCGCGTGGGCCGTCGCAGCTGCTAGTCCTCTGGATTGGAGAGGATTCTCCAAAGGAGGCTCTGGAAAAAAGGAGGAGGAGGTAACCACAGTTCACAGCCCACATGGACTGGCTTATCTTTGAACTTCACAGGCAAAGGCAGCGTTGGATGGTGTGGTATGACCATGCCAATGTGTGACCCCTTCCCAAGAGTCAACCGCACATGGCACAACTTATGAACAACTGTTCCATCAACAAGTGCAACCCGCCTGACATTTGTTTGGCCGCAGACAAAAGGCAATTTGCATATTGCGAAAAATGTCAAATGCATGTCGTGTGCGCAGGCGCAACAGCAGCAAATGCACCAGATGCCGCAAAAGCGAGGGAAACGTCGTATCAGGGGTGGCAAAATGCATGTTGGGGTTGCAACTTGCAACTGACGTCCTGAAATTGCTCAACTAATTGGGGAATGCAGTATGCTAAAAAGAAGATAGCAAAAAAGAGGCACTTTTAAAGCCACAAATTGGATGGAAAAGAGGGTAAAATATTGGTATAGTCAAAACACGAAAGTTTACCATTGCTACAATATTCCTATTAAATGCTAAATAAATTATGTATTCACATGTATTTCAAGATATGCTTTTGAAATTAAGTTCTACGTATACATATGAAGAAATCATTTTTTCCCATTGCTTCTGATTCCACCGAATCCAATCGATTGTCAGCAATTTTCAGCACTTTTTTTCCCTTAAAATTTGTAAACAAAAACATATAAACCAAGGCAAATGAAAACGCTGACGTTTGGTGGCCGGCATTTTTACATAATATTGACACAGAAAGACAAAGTGCTAATAGAAATAATAAACCAGGCAGGCGGCGTAGATTAAATCAATTACGAGTCCGATCCAAGTGCATTCAAGAAAAGAATTCCGCTGATTGGCATTGGTTTAAATAGCTTGGTTTGTGGGGAAAAAACACCGAAGGAGGAGAGCAGGTGCAGCTAAAATCCAAACAAACGATAAACGATCCTATACAAAAAAGCTGAACAGGCGAATACCTCTTTTTGCCAACTGAGATTGGGTCCAAGACAATTGACAGTTGCACAAACGAGATTTAATTGACAGAGTCAATTTATGCAAACGGTGGCCATAAAACAAGTGCAACGAGATTTGTGTATTTAGATTTGAATTTGTTACTGGCCAAAAAACCATTTGATCTGGTTAGGAGTGGAAACTGGAAAATGGCATTAAAAACTGAAGACCGAGAAGGGAATCGGAATTAATGGGATTGTTCACTTAGCGATATCAATGTTTGGCCAAATAAAATAATTGAAAAATTGTCTAGGATAACAACTGTTAAATGGTTTCCATGTATACTTTTAATGTTATTTAAATTATAATATTATTACACATACGATTTCCCCATGCAGAATGGTATTGAAAAAGATAATACCAGATAATACTAGTGCTTATTTCAATTACCCTCTTTAAAATGATTATATGAATATTTTCTATACTTATATTATGCGAGCTCACAATGATGATGAGCAGCTTATGATAATCTCTCCGACTAATACTGATTCCAGGAATCATAAATAAACACCTGCTTGTGGAACCCTTTGAAGGGCTTCTCGTAATTTCCTCATTACCATTTCGAAACGCTCTAAACTGTTTCTTTTTTTTTATGGCGGCTCACTTTATATATTAACCTGTTTGCAGACTCACAACTCATAATGTCTACCCTCCGACAATCTCCCTTTGCAGATCTCCAGTCCATCCGACGTCTCCTGGAACACGATGCCAGTGGATCCGTGTGCCCCTCCTGCCGCATATCCTTCGACAAGGGCAAGAGACGGAAACTGATCGACACCTGCGGCCACGAACGGTGCTATTCCTGCATGTTCCGCAACGACCAGTGCCCCATGTGCATGAACAGCTCGCTGAAAGGTGAGTCCCCCTATATAAGCACCTCGTATCTGCAGATATGCTGTTTCGCGGTGTATCTCGTCGCTTTTTTCGCATATCTCTCGACTACTCGGATATGCCATATGAGGCAGGAAAATATTTTGTTACATGTTGAGTGCAAAATGCCAAAGAAATTGCACTGGGACCATAATATTGCCGGGTTTTTGTTTTTATGTGAAGGAATGTCAAAAACAAATGGATATTTAAGTGGTGGACGAGAAAGGTTCACAAAAAATATATAAATAACAAATTGGTATCAAAATTGTATAATTGTATATCACATCATAAATGTGAAATCAAAATGGTAATATTTATAGGCAATATAATCTATAACTTACATTTTATAAGATGTATTTCAAAAAACCGTTACCTAAAATAGATCCCCTAAGAATTCGCAGAGCTTGACAATTTCTTTCTCGGTCGTTAAAATAGCGGTTCAAGTTGCAAATGCAGCTACTGATCGAGTGATACCTTGTCTTGGCATACTCACCTTTTTTTTTCTGGTAAATTAATATTCGTATTGTGTACAAATTGCTTGGCATGCAGAGATCGTATTGTCGGTTGACTTCATAAAACTAAGAAGCCCACTGAACTGGGGACTTAAGCTGCCAACTCCTACCGGTTACAAGCCCATGAAAACCGAAAGTTATGTCCGTCTTTAAGCCAAGTGCTGACACGATTCCATAGGCCCAACTCCCGACCACTGGATTTATTAGCTGCCAATCGTACACGATCGTGTCACCTGCTTTAAGGCCTCTGGCTGTGTGAATTTACGATCTGGGCAGCGAGTTCGGTGGGTTGCTCTTTATTTATGATCAGGGCTCTGCTTTATTTGCATACCTAATTAAGTGATACAGTTCGTGGAATGGAAATTACCTCAACCAGTTGTTGCTACGGTATTTAGGTAGGATAATTATGTGGGACTCAAAGAAGCACTCGAAAAAATGTCAAGCAAGTTTAGGTAACAAGTTTATCAAAAAGCATAAGTAAAAAAGTCTTACCTAAATAAATTAGAGAAATTTCTTACATTTTTAGTTGTTCTAACAAGTTCTATCTTTATTACCCAATTTATTTGAATTAAATGAAATATAAAGATTAAAGCTTTCCTTTATTTATTTTTCTTTAGTCTCTAACTAAGAAATTTAGCACGATACTTTTCCCACAAGTTCAATAAAGATCCACGAATAGCCGATGACTTCTTGACCCACTTCAGTCATCTTTGACCCAATGCATACGGCAGGAAAAGCGTCTTTCTCAAGGGCCACATATGCACATTGTACATACATTTGCGTGCCACTTTTCACCCGACTTTTTGCACTCACACATTTCCACAATTAAACTTTGCATTTTTTGCCGAGTGCGTTTGTGCAAACATTTCTTGACTTGATTACTAACATCGTTTTGCATTTGTTATACGTTTTTTTCCCCCACAGATGTTGATGGCGCCAACGCTCAGGGCTACGACACCGGAATCGGTGGATCCACATCGACGATTGTGAGTCCTCTTGGATCTCCGCAGCCGCAGCTCAGATCGCATGCGCAACGGAACGCGGCTCTGGCGCGCTATATGCAGGTGAGTGCGTACTCTAAGATACTCCTCGAAACCTATCATACCTAGGTACACCATCTAGAAAACAGTATATGGGTGTTTGCGCATTTTAAGTAAGCTAGGCGCAAGATATTATCCAAACAATGGACCTCACTACAATATATTTCATTTTAAACATTACAACTATACTAATGTTCAAAACAAAATCATTTTATTATTATAATTAGTAATATATTTTTAACCATGCTGAAACTATATTAATAGTTGTGTCTAGATACAGAACAGTGAATTTAAAAACATGTTTTATTATATTTATTATAATGAACCATTAGAAGTCATGTCAAAGTATCATTAAGTTTATTCCATCTAGGCAGGCTTTTGGTATTTATCTTATAAGTATTTTACCCACGTAAGAAAATAGTACCTTTTCATATCACTGACAGCATTTGAAACTGGCGATCCCGGGGAATCGGCGTCGTCTTTAGTGTGTTTACTTTAATGGCCTCTTGATTATGCTGCCACTAGAGGTGAAGAGGCTCCATCAAAGAAGTGGAAAAGTGGGGGAAAGAAAAGAAAAGGCAAAAGAAATCAACGCAGAAGAATGGAAAAGAGAAAGAAATCTCTTTTGTAAAACGGTCGGTGAAGCGACTTTTGTTATACTTATATCTCATCGACTCCCATTTCCGCTCATCTTTCCAAGCGCCTCTTTTGTCGCCCATTTGGGTTATCTACAGCGCCACTTTGACACATTTCCGAAAGAGTTTTACCCAAAGTTCCCGTTCGACGAAACTTGGACGAAACGAAGGCGGAACACCTTTCTGGGCCTTATAATTATGTAAAAGCGCATAGCTGATCGTAAAACGGTTTGATCTGCTTTTAATCAAGTCATAATAGAGTGTGAAACAATTTGTTTTATGTAAAAATAAGGTTCCAAGGAGACATAAAAGTTATAACTATTCTTTTCTGGGTGGTACCAGAAAGCTTTTAGGAGTGTGTTGATAGAACGTATATTATTGGAAAAGTGGATTACCCTAATGGATTAAATAGATGTTTAATATTTTATTATACACTTTGAGCATTTATTACTTATTATTTATACTGCCTAGGTTTATAGTTTTATTTTAAAAGCATCTCACTCCAACTTAACCAAGTCTTTTTCAAATCACCCATCAATTTTCTGGAAATCATCAATCTTAAGCAAGCAATCTACAAAACAATTACAGCCATCACTTTCCTCTTAATTAAATGAATTTGATTTAACAATAACGATAATAACTCTTCCCACTGAGCTGATCGGCTCGTCGATTAAAACCCGCCATGGGTTGTATCGTAGATCACAGGCTGTTCCTCCTCCTCCGCATCCTCCGCATCCGCCGATCTTCTCGAGAGTCTTTTCCATCGGGATCATCGCCGACCGACTGTCAGCAAATGTCACTTTAAATACGCCAAAACGGCGCAAAAGTTTCAATTGTCGGGCGCCGTTGGGAGCCAATTCTTGTGGATTGGGAAGATCAAGGGGACTGGGATCGGGATGGGGATTGGGATGTGGATGAGGTCTGGAGGGGCTGGAGGCGATCGCCAGTGCCTGATAGCTTGTCTGGCAGGATGCAGTCGCCGCAGAAGTAGCTGCAGATACTCGAACCCATAGTCGTATCTCATATCTGCGCTTGTGTATCTCAAAGCGACTGTCAAATGGTTAAACTGACAGTTTGTTTTTCCACCGCTCGCCGGCAGACGAAGTTGGGTAGCTGCAAGTTGGGAGCAGGAGGAGCAGCAGCTATAAAGCTGGAACTGGAGATCCGAGATGCGGAGATGGAGATGGTATGGCGATGGCCGATGCCGATGCCGATGGAGGGAAACTGGGTCACTCCGGCGGACGGCCGTCGCCTCGGGCCCCAAACATCGTCCAGTGTCTTCTGCTTTCTAAGCCAGGCCAAAATACTCACTCTGCACGGAGAAAAAATTAGATTAGTTTTTACAAGTTTTTCTTAAAATATTCGAGTTATAAAACAGACATTCCAATAATGTTCTCATTCTCTTAGGCCGAAATTTTAATATGATTTTTTTCCTATAAGAGGATCTGATTAGACCTTAGTAATTTTTATAAAATGTGTAGAATTTTAAATATAATAAAGTAGGTACTATAGAACCTGTTATAAAATAGGTCTACTTCTTATGTACAAAAAGCCATATTATCAACTTTTAAATTAGATATATCAATTTCAAATAATCTTAAAATAGTTTTTTCCTCTGCATGCTTCTTTTTATTCCTCACAGCATATTTATTAACATTCGCATTTGCTGAAGTATTTATTTCATAGCGATTCTCAATTGATTTCGGTCTGGGGGCTGAGCTTCAGATTTCCGTTTTCAGTTTTCGATTTCAATTTTGGTTGGGGTTGTATTTTCGTTCCGCTCTCTGACACGTGACATGGGATTTCACTTAAGACTTTAATACTGGCGCATAAGCAAACATAAACGTGCCAAGTCTTTCGGACACATGACATGGACATGGATGTAAATTTCGGCCGCGGACTCTGATCCGACAGTCAAAAAGGACGGACTAGACAAACAATGCTCCACAAGTCGGGAGAGATCGGTGGTGATCTCAAATCCGACGTGTAAATTGATTTCTAATTATTGTCATATTGTGGGGCCGAAAGATTTGATTTGAATTTTTGCGAAAGTGGCCAAGTGATTATGGGATTAATATGTTAGAGAAAGGATAAAAGTAAATAGATATGGAGAAAAAGCTGTACATATCATTTCGAAAACAAACTTAGGATTGGCGCCTCCATAGATACCACTTGGCAAACAAAGACCACATTTGTTGGCTTCCCCAATTTGCCTGAATTAATCAGCCAGCAGGCAGTGCCATATAACACCATCGATCGTAAAATCATAAAATCTTCGACACCTAAGTGCCATTAAGCCAAATGCACAAACAAGCCGAAGCCTTTGAAAACGCCAGCCAAGAAATGCCCAAGAAAGAAAGTTTCCTTTTACAATCGCGCTGCTGATTAATACGACTCGTCGCGATACTATTCGAATCGCTTTGATTTGATTTGATTTTGAGATGAGTCCAGAAAAACTTGCTCAATGGCAGGCAATTGAAGCGAATTGAGTTTATGGCCGGAGAATGAGTGCCTGTCTCTGTTTTGGCCAGCGACAATTGGAGCGTCCGCAAAAGTGACGGAGTTGCCTTGATTTTCCATTTCCCCGCGATGGATATGATATGGATATGGTGGATATGGTTATGCCAGCGATACCCGTATGTCGGAAGTGTGTCAGCTATAAAGGCTGTGTTGTTACCATAGCCATAGCTATAGCCACCGAGCACTTTACATAACTATCTATCTAAGCCAAACCAGAAGTCGTTTAGGCAATTGCCGATCAGCCGGGGAGTTTGGCTCCCAGGCGAGGTGTGCTTGGGGTCCGAGAACTGTCATTAGATTAAGTGGCAGCTGGCCCCGTGGTCTCTGTCTAATTATCGTTTGGAAATCGTGTTATAAGCTGCTCAAAAAAACACAACAGCCATGAATAGACTTTTAGTAACAAGCTGATGTTAAAGGAAATTACGTTAAAGAAGAAAAAATGAAAAAAAAATGCTAGCAATAAAAGATTTTTGAGACCTTTTGCTTAGAAAACTATAAAAGTTCTTCAGATTGTTATATTTTTAATCCATGCTTAAAAATATTAAAGTCAAGCCCTGTGCTTCTTCTGTTTTATAGCGCCATATTCTAACTATAAAATGAAACTCTCCTATTTTCTTAATATTTCTAAACTGTATAACTTTATAAAATCTTAATTATTTAATTGCGACTTTTTCAATTAATTCCCATTAATTAAACCTATTATTTCGACCACTGCTGTGAATGTAAACATATCAAGGAGCAAAAAGTACGAGGTATACCTCAAAGTTTGTGATTGACATGCACAGGCGACAAATCAACTTGGAAAATGCCAGTGATTCAAATGCGAAATAGTTTGCATTAAAAGCGCCAAATAAAGCCGATATCGAGCAACGATTCGCGAGCGATTCAAGCGCGTTTTTCGAGCCGTTAGCCCGCACGAAAAGCGCGATTTTTATCTCGCATGCAATTTATTTTTCCTTTTGGTCTGTGCCTCGTCTAATTGTCCATTGCTGGCAACAAATATGGCGTTAATTATCCACAATTTCGATAGCATCACGTATTAATGATTAGCAAGAGCCAAAAAAAATTAAAACGAGAGTCGGGGAAGGCAATCAATCAAATGGAGCGCACCTTGAGTACTCTTGTGTATCTTTTACTTTGCGGAATGTCAAACATTGTAATTGGAATTCGATTGGATAGATGGATGTGTGGCAGTAGCCGTGTATCATTAGCTCTGCCAGTGGCTGCTGTTTTTTTTTTGATTTCGCAAGAGATTTATGTATTTACGCGGAATAGCGCGACACCTGCCTGAATCGCCGCATCTCGAACTGATTCGGATTGTGAGACACCTGAAGTATTTCTTTGTCTTACTTTTTCACTACCCGCTGTGCAATTATTCATTGCTGTTCGCGATGACTTTCGATTGGCCGTGATTTAGCGACATATCTGCGAATATTCATGGGTTTAAGCTGGATTGAGGGTGTGACCCAGGAACTCGAATGCAAACAGATTTATTCTCGATCGATGGTGCTGTCAGTAAGATATGCAACTTATCCAGTGATTTCATTTCAATTTGAACAAGCAAAGTTGTATGTAAAGAAATCTCACTTAATGTGGCCTTATGCGTATACTTAATATAGACGGGAAATCGGAATATTTATACCAAGAATCGATTAAGTGTCAGTATATCATTCCATTTTTATCAAACTCGTTTCCTTTATATTACATTATTTTTTTTTTAATTTTTAATTAACTTGTTTAGCATGTTAATATTGCAGAGGTGCACATTAATAAATGTTAAGATATTTCTTCAAATTGAATTTTTAGTTACTTTCAAATAGTCTGTAAAAACTCACAAATTAAATCAATATTCAGGAACTCCTATCAGGA